GTCTTAGTTTGTCCTTGTACACCCTAACATGTGCTACCTTTTCGTAGTTTGTTATAGCTATTGCTAGCTTCTAGTATTTGCTGATTTGAATCAACTTCTCCTAGCATGTCATAGCTTGTTCCAGCGTGCTCTAGGACGTTCTAGCTCGTATCAGCTTGTCCCAACACGTCTTAGCGCTTCCTAGCTTGTACCAGCTTTTCATAGTACTTTACAGCTTGTACCAGCTAGTCCTAGTATTTCCTTGTTTGAACTAGCTTGTCCTAGCATGCCATAGCCTGTACTAGGTTGTCCTAGTAAGTCTCGTCTAGTACTAGCTTGTCATAGCATGCCCATTCATGTACCAGCTTGCCCTAGCATGTCTCAACTTGAAGAATGAGACACCTGTGCAACATCTGGGGAACTTCACTGTGAAAGTGTTTCGAAAGCCAGCGTCTTCATCAGTGCAGTGCACGGAAGAACGTGACAAGACGAAAAGGAGTTTGAGGTAATCATTCCCTTAGCCTGGAGATGCTTTCGGTACATCAGTTTTCATAAAAATATAACCTATATGCAGAGAAGGGGGTAAGGTGGCGTAACTGGAAGAGAAAAAGTGAAAATAAATCTCTCTCTCTCTCTCTCTCTCAACACATCGGCCGTATCCCACCGAGGCAGGGTGGCCCAAAAGGAAAAACGAAAGTTTCGCCTATTACATTTAGTAATATATACAGGAGAAGAGGTTACTAGCCCTGTGCTCCCGGCATTTTAGTTGCCTCTTACAACACGCATGGCTTACGGAGGAAGAATTCTGTTCCACTTCCCCATGGAGATAAGAGGAAATAAACAAGAACAAGAACTAGAAAGCAAATGGAAGAAAACCCAGAGGGGTGTGTATATATGTGCTCGTACATGTATGTGTAGTGTGATCTAAGTGTAAGTAGAAGTAGCAAGACGTACCTGAAATCTTGCATGTTCATGAGACAGAAAAAAGGACACCAGCAATCCTACCATCATGTAAAACAATTACAGGCTTTCGTTTTACACTCACTTGGCAGGACGGTAGTACCTCCCTGGGCGGTTGCTGTCTACCAACCTACTACCTAAAAATGTTGCACATGTGTCTCATTCTCCAACATCTCGGTTTCCTAAACCATTTATATGTCTCATCTTTACTAGCTTGTCATAGCATGTACATGTTTATAAAGATACAATGTTAGGCAAAATGCCGAAAGGACTTGGTCAAGCCGTTACGGCTTGACAAAGCTCCTGAAGAGCGAAATGTTGCCACATTAAAATGTCACATTAGATGCGCATGTGCCTATTCTTTTACCTAACATGTCTATTCTTGTAACATCTTGTCCGTGCATATCATAGCTTGTCAAGGATGGCACTGGTTCATTCTATCATGTTCTACCGTGTCCTAATTTATCACAGCTAATCCTAGCTACGCCTAGCTTATCCTACCTTAATTTAACGCGTCCTACAATTACGTAGTTTCATGTAAATTTGTTATACGATTAGTACATTAAGTACATCCATTTACATCTTTACATTTAAGTGTCGGGTAAATTAGCTAACCATTTGCATATACTTATGAATGTGCGGGAATGAGAGTTAGTCAGGTTTGATCCAAGGAAAGGAATGGTAGATTATATTCCCTTGTTCAAGAGCCTCTTAGCAGCATTGAAGCTCCTTATCCCCCCCCCCACTCTCGGCTCTCTGGAAATAAGCTCACCATTTGCAAAGCAGAAAAACAGCCAAATCATCGGAAAGGAATTAGTGTGTAAACTTCTAAGGTTATTTGGCTGGATTATTAGGTTTGAAGCCTATCGACTATACAGGGGTCATTAAGGCTCATGTCACCTCTACACCTCAGGTCAAGAAAACTTTAATCCATGAAATAGTTAAGTGAAGTAAACTCAGCATATCTACCGTACATTCCGAGGTGCAAACACCTTCCTACACGCCACATGCGCTGAAGATATGTGACAAGTCGAATACAACCTGGATCCCTGGTATGTCAAATATTATTAGGGTAGAGAAGGTTGTGTGTCTGACCGTTTACGTTAATCTCTGTGTTAAGGATTAACGTATTCATGACTCTTGGCGCAGAGTCGATGTGCAGCGTTAACGGATTTAGAAAGACACGTAAGCAAACACTATAACATATTTATTAGAAAACGTTTCGGTCCTGGAACCTTGATCACTTCAGAAGTGATCAAGGTCCCAGGACCGATACGTTTTCTAATAAATATGTTATAGTGTTTGCTTACGTGTCTTTCTAAACCAACTTGTCGGTATTTATTACCAAGGTTTATACCAGCGTTAACGGAGCTTTTGTACTCAATAAAATGTTAGATTCATTAATGAATAATGTTAATTAGGAGAAACATAATGATTTGGAACATGGTGGAAGCCTGCACAGTATGAACATAGATAAACGCATTTACGGAGCAACTTGCAATGTAAACAGACTGACAGATGATGGAACAGCCAGGCTTAGATTTGGCTTTAAATATTTCTGTCAGTCTAACACAAAAAAATATGATCAAGCTTAATGTTAGGTATATAGTCAATCTTGTGGTCAATAATTTCAACACTCTGTGCCTGATTGTCTACTTAGGAACATAAATATATATATGTCGTGCCGAATATGTAAAACTGGTCAATTAGCAAGAACTCATTTAAAATTAAGTCCTTTCTAAAATTTTCTCTTATACGTTTAAAGATATATTTTTTCATTAATGTTAATAAAAAAAATAATTTTGCACCAAAAGAATCTTAGAAAACTTACCTAACCTTATTATAACAAGAACAATTTATTTTAGCCTAACCCAACTAAATATATTTTAGATTTGTTTACAATAATTTAATACTAAACAAACACAGTGAAATATATTTTTTTCATTAGGTTAAGAATGATTTTGGCGAAATTATTGCATACACAAATTTTCACTTTTCCTATATGGCAAGATGAGCGTTGCTATTTAAGCCAAGATCGCAAGTTCTGCCTATTCGGCACGACAAATATAATATATAATATATATATATATATATATATATATATATATATATATATATATATATATATATATATATATATATATATATATGTAATAAGATCACAGTAAACAGGTGATTTCAGAATATGCAAAACAACCACTGTGAAAGAATAGAGAAATTCCAAGTGCTTTCGTGACTACTCGCATTATCAAGGAACAATGAAAGTGAAGCATCAAAGGAAGGTATATAAAGGGTTAGCCCACACCTCACTATCAGATCCCACAACAAAGAAACACCTGACGCGCGACTCATAAGAAAGGGAACACTGCAGCAGGCCCGCCGGCCCAACTGGACAGGTCCTTCACACAACCCACCAACAAACTATTCTACCCAAGAAATAAGAATTTTAAAAATTATTGTTTGTCCAATGTATTATTAAATTCTTCTCAAATTCTATTAATTATAAATGGATCTATTTTATATAAACCAAAGGAAATATTCATATTATTGTCAAAACTGCTTTTTATGAAACAAGATTCAATTATATTCCTGTCGACCATGGACTTGATTGATGCAACTTTCTCAACTTTTTGAAAATCAATTGGATGGTTAAAATCTCTTACATGAATAAATAGAGCATTGGAATCTTGTCCAGTTCTAATGCTATATTTATGTTGTTTTAATCTTAGTTCGAGATTTTTACCAGTTTGACCGTAATAAACTTTATTGTTTTGCATATATATATATATATATATATATATATATATATATATATATATATATATATATATATATATATATATATATATATATATATATATATATATATATGCAAAACAACCACTCTGAAAGAATAGAGAAATTCCAAGCGCTTTCGTGACTACTCACATTATCAAAGAACTATGATAGTTCCTTGATAATGTGAGTAGTCACGAAAGCGCTTGGAATTTCTCTATTCTTTCAGAGTGGTTGTTTTGTATATTTTGAAATCACCTGTTTACTGTGATCTTATTGCATATATATATATATATATATATATATATATATATATATATATATATATATATATATATATATATATATATATATATATATATATATATATTCGTGCCGAATATGTAAAACTGGTCAATTAGCAAGAACTCATTTAAAATTAAGTCCTTTCTAAAATTTTCTCTTATACGTTTAAAGATATATTTTTTTCATTAATGTTAACGTAAAAATTTATAATTTTGCACCAAAAGGAACTTAGAAAACTTACCTAACCTTATTATAACAAGAACAATTTATTTTAGCCTAACCCAACTAAATATATTTTAGATTTGTTTACAGTAATTTAATACTAAACAAACACAGTGAAATATATTTTTTTCGTTAGGTTCAGAATGATTTTGGCGACATTATTGCATACACAAATTTTCACTTGTCCTATATGGCAAGATGAGCGTTGCTATTTAAGCCAAGATCGCAAATTCTGCCTATTCGGCACGACATATATATATATATATATATATATATATATATATATATATATATATATATATATATATATATATATATATATATATATATAACGTCGATATTATATCCATAAGACGGGAAACTATTTTAAGTAGCCACGCCACAGTTTCCAGAGATATTTGTTACTCAGGTATTTAGCTTTTTAAAATTAATTTTCGGTGTTGAATGGACACATGACGTCACTGACAGTCTGCAGTCATTGGCCGGGAGTAGTCACGTGACTCCAGGTACGAGGCGGTACCGCTCCACTCACGAACATTTTTTTCATATTATTTCCTTCCATTATGCCGAGTTATTCTATATATTCACACTCCCATGTTGGTGTATTCCTTATATACGAAGAATACATCAACATTAACAAGCCATTGACTATTAATATTCTGAAATAATAATAATATATGGTAACTCTAGATGGAGCTTTGCCTATCTGAGGGAAAAATAATGTGAAGAACATGAGTGTAAGGAGACGTGTGGGAGGCAGCGCTCAGTAGCACGGAAGCAGCAGCCTGGGGCTCACCGCCGCTCCTGCCTGCACCACACTCGTGGCCTCGTGGAACAGTAGTGACATTAAATCAGAATTATTTGGTCCAGCAAAACTGTGGTTACTTAATAGTCCAAATACTTCCAGCAGCAGGCAGGATACTAGCGGTGCCAGTGTGAATCTAGGTGTAACACTGAGCCATGGAACAGTAGCGATATTTAATTGAGTTTATCTTCAGGGAACTGTATTGCAGTAATATTATTACAAATACAAGAGGTACAATGGCTCTTGATACACGAGTGTTCAGGTGGACAAACACTTCATCGTTTAGCGACTTGTGCTGCGAGGATTTCAACAGTGTAGTAGGAAGTGATCTGCGTCAGGGAGATTATCTGGACGCTTACAGTGACGGGTGCGACACCACGCCCTCAGCCAGTCCGGGCAGTGATGACGGTGCTCCGCCTAGCCCCGCCCCACACCACAGTGCTCACTCCCTTCCTACGCCCATCTACACCGACCTCTCCACGCCCGCGACGAACACCTTCACCCCGGCAAGCTTTTACAACGACAGCAGAAACTATTATGGAGGAGCGGAAGCTGAGAGGGGGCAGGCATTCCATCCGACGGCTGAATTCCAACGACAGACAGTAATGAGTAATGAGAATAGCAGTAACTTTACGCCAGTTAATTATGAAAACTTCTGGCCTAGCAGCGGCGCCAGTCAGACCATATCCCCGGCCTACCAGTCTGTGGGACCTCGCACGGAAACGATAGTCCAAAATCAACCCATCTTCGAACGCAAACCTCTGAGGATACGACGGAGACAGCCCATATTTGTTAACGGTGAAGTCAAGAAGAAACGAAGACTTCAAGCCAACGCCAGGGAACGGAGACGAATGAACGGCCTGAACGACGCCTTCGAGAGACTCCGAGAGGTGGTGCCCGCGCTTGGGAACGACAGAAAACTCTCCAAGTTTGAGACGCTTCAGATGGCGCAGACCTACATCACGGCTCTCTCCGAGTTGCTCAAGAGAGACACTTAGGACAAGAAAGACGTTTAGGCCTACGAAGAAACTTAGGCCTAGAAAGGATACTTAGACCTATAGAGATAATTAGGCCCTGAAAAACACTTAGGCCTTATTAAACATTTATTGCAAGCTCCAGCTGCGCTTCATATTACAGTGTAAAAAAATCAAGCGACCATTTCTTTCATTAGTAAATTCATTTAGTCCCTCATTTGCACCACTTATTTATTTGATTATAGTTTTTTTGTACATATTGTATCTACAACGTGTAAATATTGTAAGGCTTACCCCAGTGTTCAACTTACATTTGAATATCGTCAACAGGTATTTCCTCAGTCTCCTGTCTTCTACTTCGGTTACTTGCATCCTACTAAGTCACTACTTTAGAAACTAAGTAGACAGGAGAGGATTCTTTTTTAAGGACTTATTGGAAACGTATATGGTGTTAAGTACTTCGGAATACATCAAAGTCATGAAAGTATATTTTCAAGACGTAGTTTAAACAAGCTTAGTAAAATTGCTTTGTAGTGTAGAATGTTTTGTTTGTGTCAGTTTACATGTGAAGTGTAGAAGAGAATTTGAGGGAGAAAATATGACCCAGTTCAGCAGTGACGAGGCGACGATCCCCTTGATGCTAGTTTTTAAGTTTTCCTGCAATCTGTGATATATTATTTTAAGATAATGGATTATCCCAAGTTGTTGATTTTGTTGTTAATAGTAAAACATAAGCCAATAATCTTAGTGTTTGATATAAACTCCTGGCTAATTTATTTTAATTTGCCATACGGCTGATATCTTAGTTTCTTTATATTGGAGACAATGAATTATAAGTGTAGTTAATAAATTAGTTCTCCCAGAGAAATTCTTAACATAAAAAAAATGGAAAACGATTATGGGAAATGTGGAAGACAGTAAACACTATGAAGACAATACAAATAAAGAAACGATAAAATACTTTACCACTGAAACACATGGAATCCCCACTCAAGGTGGGGATGCCTTGATAAAAATGTACCCCTCAAGGAGCTCTTAATTCAAGGAATTAGGCCTATTCTCATTTCCCTAGACGCTGCATGACCCCTACAGGGGTCATGCAGTACCTCTTCCATGAATGTGAAAACTGAAGCAAGAAGCTGAAGCTACCCTCTATTTCCATATTTATAATTATAATGGATGATAATTCTCCTGCACTCTCTCAGTTCCAGTGAGAATTATAGATTCAAAGTAAGAGATATATCTCGTATTTACTTGAATCAAACCTCTTTGCCGTCTATTCCCTATGCGCTATATAACCCGTAAGGGTTTAGCACTTCCCGTACTGCCGCTACTACTCCTACTATTACTACTACTACTACTAATAATAATAATAATAGTCACTAACGTTACAAAGTCATCGATCATTCAACAGGAACTTCCAATAATTTCCAACCGCCATATACTTCCTTCAATTTACGTCGGCTAACACTAACCTAACTTAACCTAATCTAACCTAACGTGAATTAACTAAATCAAACTTAACCTAATTTAACCAAAGATAAATTAACCGAACCTGATGTAACCTTACTTAACGTAAGTTAACCTAGTATAATTTAACTTAACCTAAAGTAAGTTAGCGTAACCTACCATTACGCAAGTTAGCCTAACCACTTAATGTAAGTTAGATTTCTTTAATTTAACTCAAACGTAAACTTAAACGTATATTATGCTGCTGAACAACTCGTGGGTGTTGTTTATGTTAAACAAACACCTGCAGCTTCGTTGTAGGATGCCATCTTATGCATCTACTTCTCTTTCTTCCCCCTCCCCCCTCCCCCCTCTCTCTCTTACTCGCTTCTCACACTCATTTCTCTCACACAAAATCACTTCTGAAACACACACACATGCACAAATCTCTAGCCTCTCTGAGATCGTCCAACATTTGCTGGAGACGACCGATGTGATATATATTATATATATATATATATATATATATATATATATATTCAAATGGCTTCAGGAAGAAATCCAAATATTCTTCCTTGAAGCCTTTTTATCCACTTCTCCGAGGCTATGGGTCCCACAATTTACACCAGAGGTGGACCCCATCCTATATTTATATATATATATATATATATATATATATATATATATATATATATATATATATATATATATATATGTCGTGCCGAATATGTAAAACTGGTCAATTAGCAAGAACTCATTTAAAATTAAGTCCTTTCTAAAATTTTCTCTTATACGTTTAAAGATATATTTTTTTCATTAATGTTGATGTAAAAAATTATAATTTTGCACCAAAAGGAACTTAGAAAACTTACCTAACTTAATTATAACAAGCGCAATTTATTTTAGCCTAACCCAACTAAATATATTTTAAATTTGTTTACAATAATTTAATACTAAACAAACACACTGAAATATATTTTTTTCGTTTGGTTCAGAATGATTTTGGCGAAATTATTGCATACACAAATTTTCACTTGTCCTATATGGCAAGATGAGCGTTGCTATTTAAGCCAAGATCGCAAGTTCTGCCTTTTCGGCACGACATATATATATATATATATATATATATATATATATATATATATATATATATATATAAACACTGATCTCTGGCTGAAGGAGACTCGAACCTACGAATTCCTTGCATTGAATAAAGTTGCCTAACTGTTGCCTATGTGTCTTACCTACCACTCCACAATTATTACCACAACCACCACTTCTACTACTACTACTACTACTACCACTACTAGTGTTACCTACGCGACATTTCACCTGACTCATGCCTCTATATACTGTGATAACTGGTTTTGAAAACGCTTATGCAGTATGTGGGAATCTTTACTGAGGAAACATTTTGCCACACAATAGGTTTTCAAAACCATTTATCACATCTATCAGACACTGAAGCATCATGGGATCTTGATACAAGGAATTCTTCAATACTTGTCCAACCTTTGGATATAGACCTACTTACATTAGTGGATGGCACCACTGTGATCACGCCTCCTCCTACTTCCACTTACCTGACTACAGTGTATAAGCCACTTCTCCGGCCATATGCTGTACTTTCTACAAGTCATATCCTTTTAATTCTATGCCTTTTCTAGAGAGTGCCGATGCAGTGCACTCAGTTTGTCCTCGTTGGAAAGATTTCTAAAACATGGGATCAGCTTTATCCTCCTTTGTTCGTTTTCGAGTGCATTTACTCCTATTATGTAATATGGTAACCAGAACGGTGCACTGTAGAAGGCCTACTGGCCCATACAAGGCAGGTCCTTATCAAAACGATATATAAAGTTGAAGCACAACCTGAGGGCTCCCCTTATTTATACTTCTTCATATGAAGCCAAGAATCCTACTCCCTTTATGGGGAACTCTTACGCACTGTTGTCTTGGTTTTAGATTACTATTAACCAGAGCTCCTAAATCTTTTTCACGCTCAGTGATATTAAGATCTACGTTATGCAGTTTATAAGTGTCATGGTTATTTTCCTTTCCAACGCTTAGAACTTTTCATTTGTCTATGTTAAACTACATCTGCCATTTCTATGACCATTATTCAGATCTTTCTGGAGTGCTCTAGTGTCTTCGTCAGACGGCCTATTTTGGTGTCATCGGTAAACTTGCTTCTGTCGCTATTTATGCCCCCATCTTTCTCGTTTATATAGACTGTGAAGAACAAAGAGCCCTGACGAACAACGCTTGTGACGCGTCCCCACTCTGATTTCTCCTCGTTTATGCAAACTCTCTGTTGCCTATATTTCAGCCTCTCTGTTTTCTACAATAAATGCCCTGAACTGTACATAAGTGTCTTTTTTTCACATCTTGTTGGTATCACCATACCATTTCTCAATACAGAGCTTTCCCATTCATTGAAACAAAAATGTATTTCCATGTCCAGTCTATGTTGTTTACTCTGCATTCTATTGATACATTTCTTTTCGTCAGGATATTTATTTCCAAATTATTTTCCCCTCAAAAAGGGCACAATCAATGTATGAATCAAAGAAGACCCCCATTACCTTATTTGTGAAATGCAACAGAGAGTTTGATGTGTTTTTTTACTAAAATAGTATTGAACTGAATAAAAGTAGGTAAGTTACTAAATGAGGCATCCTTAGATAGTCATTCATGACCTCGCTAAAGAATTTATTAATGTTGTAAAGGCTTGATAAAACTCCTGGAGAGCGAAACGTTGCTACAGTAATATATCACATTAGTTGCACTTGTGTTCTTTTACTTAACTCACTAAGGAGCTTAAGGGACCACGAATGTGGATCAAGTTTTGGCGATCACATCCATGGTAATGGGCACGAGCCAACGGTCATCCTTCAAGTAGGAGGATATCCTGGAACTGGAGAATAATTCCCAGTTTAGGGAATTAGACGTAACTTAAATCACAAAACCGTAATAATCTGTCTTAATTGTATAAAACCTGATTATCTTCCATGCATCAGATACTGTCTTATCCCTACAGATTTAGCGTTTATGGAATATAATAATGATGTACTGGACTTCTTAATTACCATACACACACTACATTCAGAAGCTAACATATTAGTTAAGTACAGAAAATCTAAATAAAACAATACTTCCTGCTTTCTAATATCTTTCTGTGAGCTGGATGTTGCCAACGGGCCGTAACTTGTTCACCTCTTATATATATTCATGGGGAAGCAGACCATGGAATGTCATAAGTTGTGGAAATGCGCCACTAAAAGCCATAGGCATCGGTAAAAGTGGATAATAAAAAGTTACAGATACTATGGAGAACCATATATACTGGCGGAATTGAACCTTAGAAAGTTTTCTATGGCCTACTTCTAAGTAGGCCAAGGAAAACGATAGATATTGGTAGAAGTGGACCATGAAAATCCGTGGATATGGAAGTGGATCACGCAGAAGTATGCAGAAAAAACTTGAACAGTGATTGCTCGTTTTAAGTTTCATTTGCTGACTGTACTGAACCACCAAGATACTTGGCTGCTGATTGATAACAAATACAATCTAAGTATAACATCTATGTAAAGCGGCTAATATAGAAAGCTAAATGAATATAGCGCGGTACAGAGTCCCTCAGGGAGGAGCTGCGCCCTCCACTAACTTTCACAGTCATTTACAGTGATTACTGAAGGTGTAAAACACAGGCGTTGTAAATATTTACAGCAGGGGAGAGTTGCCGTGGCTCCTTGCTTCTACTACCCACCACTCCACAGCACTCCTTACCACTCACTACCCACCACTCCACAGCACTCCTTACCACTCACTACCCACCACTCCACAGCACTCCTTACCACTCACTACCCACTATTCACTTCCCAGCACTCATCACTCACACCTCACTATTACCTCTCACCACTCTTTGTTACCAAATAATTTCTGCTGCTGCTGCTGCTGCTGCTGCTACTACTACTACTACTACTAATAATAATAATAATACTTCCACTAAACAATAATACTCCCAACCACTTATTACAATTAATCACCACTTACGACTACTACTTCTACTATTCACAACACTCTACTATTCATCATTCTCTACTACTACTACTCACCGCTTACTACAGTTACTCATTACACACTACTACTACTTCTCAACCCTCTGTTACTCACAATCCTTACTCATTCTCACTATTCACTAC